TATATATATATATTAATTTTGTATTATACTATATAAATAAATAGGCTAACTTATTAGGCTTAATAGGCTTTTGTATAAACCTAAACTTGACCTTTTTATTAAATAGGTCATGTCAGATCAAGTTTTAAAGACGACAGGCCATAGGCCCTTGTTTAAGGCTTGGCCTATTCTCATCCCTTGTGAGGAGATTATTATATGTATGATTAAATTGATATATATATATATATGTGTGTGTGTGTGTGTGTGTGTGTGTGTGTTTATTCATGCAAATTCGTACCATGATTTAATGTTCATACTAAACAGTAGAACACAACTACATTTAATTGAGGAGGATTAAGTTTCTGATAACCAATATACTATTTTTTAGTTTCATTAAGAGAAATGTGTGTGAAGAACCAAATTAAACCAAGAGAAGTCGAACCAATGAAAGATCTATACCTTTATTGAGTTATGAATCCAAATTGAGGAGCTAGATTAGATCATGTTTTGTCATGTTCGGGTTCCATTTGAACACTGAAAGGGACTAGGGTTGGCAGTAACAGCTCCGTTGTTGTTGGTTAACAATATCAACATAGGACATATGAGAACACTTCTCATAATTTGATCAATAAAATTAAGTTCGAACCAAGGCTCATTCTTTCTTTTCTTCTTTTACTTTTTTTTTTTCCATATAAATGTAGCTCACAACCTAAGGAATGTAAACGATAAATGGTAAGGAGTGAAAGTTGAAACCTGGAGACAAGAGTTGTAGAGTTTGGGTCTACAACACATGGACCAAATTAAGAGTCGATAACCTAACGTGAATCGAAGTACCAAAACACGATCCCTTATGGCTCGACGTGTGCTAATTGACTAGTAAAACATCACATACTTTGATAAAAATAAAATAATTATTCATTAGCTTCAAATCTTAACTAATAACAATAACAATAATTGTTGAGTATCATAAACTAACACTAATTGTCATTGATCATGCCCGTTAATTATACCTTCTCTGTATCATTAACACTTCATGAGTTAATCATAAAAATTGTTGTGCACCAAGAGTTATCATACTCATGTCTTCACAATAATTTTTAAGTATCATACACTAACACTAACTGTCATTCATAGTGGTTGTTAGTTATACCTTCCCTATATCATCAACACTTTACCAGTTAATTATAATAATTATTGTGCACCAAGAGTTATCACATACATGTCTGCACATTGGTAAAATATTATCTATTTTGGACTTAAGTCTTCATAGTTTTATTTTTAGATATTACCCAAAAGACCTTTAACTAATGGAGACATTGTATGTATATAAATTCATGTCTATCCTTTTGTTTGAACGATGTGGGACTTTGATTGTATTCCAACAATCATTTCCTCAAACAAAGGACTTTGATTTAATCCCTTAAAACCTATATATTAATTCATGAATATATTCGATAGTGACCCATAGAGCTTAGTCACACTCCAAATACTTGCACCGTAGCTCCATTGGTAACTCACAATAGTAAGACACGTTTCCTAACCCTCTATGTTACCATGAAGACTCCCTTTTATATATAGACCTACCATTAAGAAGACTTTTAATATAAAGGATCTTATATTCAAATCTACTTACTAACTTCATTATACTCACTGAGCCAGTCACCTAGTCAACTATTGACTCTGATATCACTTATTGGGCATTGGAGGTTCACACACATCTCCATATTTGTAAGATATTATCCACGTTGAGTCTAAGTCCTCATAATTTTATTTTTGGTCATCACCCAAAAGACCTCTTATCAATGGAAACTTTGTGTGTGTTTATAAACTCATGTTCATCCTCTTATTTAAATGATGTATGACTTTAATTGTATTTCAACAATAATGAAATTATACACAAATTGAAAATATATCAGGCGTTGCCATTGGTCCAAAACAGAAAGTAAAAACTTTTCATTAAAAAATATTATTAGTACATTTACGTTTTAATTTTTTTAAATTGTACTTTTGGTTCACTATCTTATTTTTTTAGATTATTTTAGTCATTTATATGCTTAAAATGTTCATTTTGATAATTTATCTTTTATATTTAGATCAATTTGATTCTTTTAAAATAATGGTCATTTTTTGCGACACAAATTTAAATTAATTTTAACTTATTTAAGACGTGAAACTTATAACATTAGATTTACTTATATAAAAATTATGAAATTTAATTGGCATTTGAATCTAAAAAGACTGTAAAGATAGTGAAA